AACGCCTGAATCCTCGCGACAATTGAATGCCAAAGATATCGGTCCTTTAAGAGTAGAAAGCAATACATCGATGGCTTCCAAACCACAACTCCAAACCAAATTCTATACCTAAAATAACTAAACCACTGATTAAACCGAATAAAATTGACAATAAAGTGAAGGAGAGTTTGTACAATAGATCCACTTTATAAGATCCTCACACCATCTTTGCATATTTTGTCTCTTTTGTTATTTGAAAATCTATTAAATAAATTATCTTTTATTAAATTATTTGTGGACTTTATAATTATGTTAAGACCCTTAAAATATAATATAAAATTTAATTTTTCATTCAATAGATTTAATGTATCATAAATGATTACCTATTATTAATACAAATACGATATAAATTTTCCAATTACCGGTATTCTTTAAAATAAATTTTTACAATAAAATATTTTTGATCTTGGTTTTGATATATTTTAATTCAAATAACTAATCCTTAAGTTTGTTTAGTTTTTATTTTAATGCAAATAATAGGCATAAAACTTAATTAATGTTATCATTAACTTAAAATATTAGTTAATACTTGTTTAGAAATGACATTTTTATTGAAGTTATAGTAATGAAATCTTGCCAACGGATGAATGACTTATTAAATAAAGATATCTTTAAAACTAATGCTAAGAAAATAAGATTTATTTTTATTTAAACAAATAAATTATCGTGGGCATCTAAATTTTATGTTTAAAATAAAAATATAATTTATATAATTTACAATCATCTTTAAGGATAAGCAAAGAAATTTCAAAATAAATTTAATTTTATTATATTCTTTTCTTAAATACCGGTAAATAAATTTAAAGAATTACTAATTTTAAAATTTAAATAATTTTGGAGAATACTTATATTAAACTATTAAAACTTAAATCTTTAAAATTATAATTATATAAAATTATTTTTACTTTCAATGAATTTGAGATAATTTTAAATTTTTATATATTTAGATTATTTAGTAAACAATTTTAGAATAAGCTTTTACTGTACAGTATATTGAATGCACTTATCATTAAAAAGTTAAGAAATTGTGATAAGAGTAGCAAAATGTGAAAGAATTGTTTTTAGTTAAGCATACATTAGTTAAACTGTAGTGCAGTGTAGGGTAAGTGTTATTATTGGTTCAATAGATGCTCTCTCAGTGGTATAACTGTATAACTATAAACTGTACCAAGACTACCATAACTGTAGTGTAGACTGTATGGTGTTTTAATGTTACAGTAGTCCTCAAGTTTTCCATATTTATCGGCCCATCATTTTAAGCGAAGAGAAAACTGTATTTTCATTCGCAGATCTTCACTGAACTGAAAGATATAACAACTTTTGGAAATAGATTTCTATTTGTCTGAAAAGAGGAGAAGATTTTTGTCTCTATATTTGTTTTAATACACAATACTTTGCGATCGATTTCTCTCCCCTTCTCTTCGTTTTATTCTTTAGACTCTTATTATTAGAAATAAGTTTTGAATCAAAAACTCAAATATAAATCATATTTTATATAAGAAAAGAGAAATAAATCAGAATTCTATGCAATTATTATTCATTAAAAAGAGACGAAAATATCAATAATACTGTATTTGAAATTGTTTTGAATCAAGTGATAGAAAATAAAATATATTATCATTTCTTGAGTTATTAATATCAGTGTCAGTCCAATGTCTTCTCGTTTCCATGTCTTCCCTTATCTCAAAAATTGTTTCAAAACATTGCATTTGATTTCAAATTAATAAATTTGCACTTTTTAATGATATTTTGACTCAAAATACGACCCATTCAAAAATATATAAGTATTTACCATTTTCATCTATATAAATTATATTTAATGTGTATTTATTTAGTCATTATATTATAAGCGTTATTATATACAGTATATGACGTCTTCTATCTGGGTCAGGAAAAAGTTAAATAAGTTTTTAATGGATATTCCGATTTTTAATCTGTTTTCACCAAAATGTAGCTGGATAATTACGTAATCCAATGGTATAGTAATTGCCATATAAATTCATCAGGATAAATTAGTAATTTAATTTCAAAGTTTTCCAACATTTCTCATTGAAATTACATGGGGATTTTACTTTATTTTTCATAATTTACTCTAAACTCGCTAAATTTTCATGTACCTGTATCTTGGTCATTTTTATTGCGATTTTTGAAATTCCAACATCATTCTGTTTGACAATAAAAAGCACTTTTTATCATGTTATGAATTTTTAAAATTTATCAAAAATGTGTTTCTAACATTTGAACACTAAGACCTAGATCAAATTTGAATACCTCATTGGAAAGAGCACAGAAAACTAGTCTAGATCAGTTTTTAAATACAAATTTTTAATTAAGATTTTGTAAATTTAATAAAATTATAATAGTAATCATAACAATAACATGTTATTTAGTTAAATTAAGCTAGCATGCCTATTGAAATGTCAATTTAAAATAAATATTAAATTCTAATCTGGACTAGTTTTCTGTGCTCTTTCCAATGAGGTATTCAAATTTGATCTAGGATAGAAGACGTCATATACTGTATATTTATATTAATATTATTCTATTTTGAATTAATAAAAATTCATAAAATATTAAAGTTAAAAATATTATTAAAAGGAAACTAGATAATTTTTGTTTTAATTTATTTCTTAAATTCTAGCCTTTAATTTTAATTGAGCATTTAAGGAAATATATAAATTGCTTGAATTTGTTAAAATATGTGCAAAAATATTGTAATTCATAAGCCATAGGAAGCGATGTATTTGTTGTTAACGAACCGAACGTATAGTTTCTCTCATTTAACGCTTGATTTGTTGTTAACATGATTTAAGCATCATTTTTATGATGTCCTAACAATTCAAACCACATATCTTTTCTCACACACAATGAGTTCATAAAGAGCTCACAAACTCATAACAAAAATATATTTATAGTTATCAGAAAAATAAGACATTATTTGTTTTTTTGAAGTTTGTGTTCAGAATATTTCTCTTGTTTTACAAAATTCTTAAAACTTTATTTCGGAGCCAATTGTGAGCGGAAAGCACTCGATTGAGACATGAGAGCCACATATGAAGAGAGGATGAGGAGGAAAGGGAGCGCACAATATCTATAATGGCTGTCATATTGCAAAATTAGCCCATCTTTTAAAGTGTGTATTGATTGTCGGCGATCACCTCAAGCCATATCTCTGGATATTTGAGAAAAGAAATTCTCATTTTATATGAGAGACAGACAGACATTGCAAACCAATTCTCCATTCGTTTGCCTCTCTTTTGAAGAAAGCACTCAAAACCGACTTGTATTTCAATGCAATTCAATTCAATTGATCTAAAATTTTAATTTTATTTACTTTTCTTTTCACTTGTATTTAGCATTTGTTCAAAATTCAATTTTTACTCATAGTTTGGATTCTTAAATGCAATTCCTATAATCTATGTGTCTATTTATTTATTGCATACAATAACTTTTGGTTAAAATAAATATAAGATTTCTAATAAAAATAAATGACAAAAAATTTTAAAGTATGATTCCTTATATCAAAATTAATACTGAATTATTTTTATTTAAATCATTAAATTAAACAGTAAACTAAGTAGCAAATTGTTTTTTCGTCAAATAGATATTGATAATTTTGATAATACAGTATTTTTCTACATAATATCACTAACAATTTCCACTTACACTTTATTAACTTTTCAACTCATAATCACAGCGATTAACTTGTATGACATATAATGTAAAAATATAAGCAAATTCTTATGTCCGATGCTAATCATTGTTAAATATAAAATACTAATAGTGGCCATGAGGTTACTTTTATTATTGCAAATTGTTAGTGATATTATGTAGAAAAATACTGTATTATCAGAATTATCAATATCTATTTGACGAAAAAACAATTTGCTACTAAGTATTTGAAAAATATTTATTCTTTATAAATAATTATAATTTAAATCTAAATGCTTTATTTAATAACAATATTTCAAATTGCAAAAACTTTATGACGGTTGATCTAAAATGATATGGTATAAAGATTATAATCTTAGAAATATATTAATATATATAAATTATATATAATATAATAAAGAATAATTAGGAAAGTTTGCAATGCAGATCATAAATTATTAATTTATTAAATATTTTTAAGATTTAATTGATTTCTTAGTAATGTAGCTGGTAAACATTATTTATTTATTAACAAACATTCTTATCAGACATTAAAGAACTGATCTAAACATTTGTGAGATAAAATAATTTCATTATATTTTCTATTAATTAACATTTGTGTCGAAACCTATTAATGACGAAAGCATTGCAAAACACTTAACAGTTTTAGAGAAAGTAAGTCACAATTTCTTGGGAGTTGTTAACAAATATTTCAAATTTATTTTACAATTGTATTCACTAAATATTTGTATAAAATGATAATATTTAACAATATAATAATTATATTTGTGACATATTGTACAGTGCATTGAAATAGAGTAGGAGTTGTTAACAAATATTTCAAATTTATTTTACAATTGTATTCACTAAATATTTGTATAAAATGATAATATTTAACAATATAATAATTATATTTATGACATATTGTACAGTGCATTGAAATAGAGTACTGGAGAATAATGGTATAAAGTGTTGAGTGTTAATAGAAAGTGAAAGTTAATAAACAGTGAATTTAGAAATCAAGGCTATGTTTATATTCAAGTGTTTTATAAACATGCGATTAAATCGTGTTTTTGTTTTGTGACTGATTTTCAATTACTAATTAAACAATAGATAAATAATTAGATGAAAATAGTTGACGAGAACTATATGTTATATTATAATTAATGGATACTGTATTATAATTATTTATTTGTTTTGAAACAATTTCACAAATGTTCTTACGAAACCCAATGTTAAATATGTCTCAAACATTGACTCAAATATTAGCAACTTTTATGATAATAATAATATATTTGAGAGAAGAGTCTATGGGTGAGAGTCACGACATATCAACTCTAAGACTCATACAAGTTGTTCACCGCCACGGCGATAGGACGCCTGTACTTTTTGTGCCAAATGACCCCTACATTAACGCCAGTATCTATTGGCCGGAAGGTGTGGGCGAACTAACACTGGAAGGCAAGTATCGTATGTATAGATTGGGACAATTCCTACGACAAGAATATGACTCGTTTTTGGGTCACAACTTCTCTCCCCGTGAGGTCTACGCCAGGAGTTCGTTGTGCTCGCGATGTCTCGAGAGTCTGTCCCTCCTATTGTCGGGCGCCTACCCGCCCAACAACACCGTCTGGCAGTGGAGTAATGGCAGTGATGTTGAGTTAGCACATCAGTGGCAGCCCTTTCCCATTGAGACTTTTATGCCTGAAAAATATGACGCTATTCTCGATGTCGAGAAACACTGTCCAAAAGCCGACGAAGAAATGAATAAAATTTTTAATTCAGAAAAAGTGGTCAAACTATTGGAAGAAAATGCAGAGTTTTTGGCGAATTTGAGTGAAAGCGTTGGAATGGAAATCAATTCATTGAAACTTACGAATAGAGTCTATGAAGACCTAACTCTGGAGCACAACAGAGGCTATAAATGGTCTGATATGAAGGTCTGGTCTCCAGAATATGAATCATTTGTTTACCATAAAGTGATGCCTTTGGCTAAGTTTAAGTGGACAGTCGAGTGGAACAACACTCTTATTGAAAGAGTGAGAGCCGGCCCTCTCATTGAAGAGTTGGTCACAAATTTTCATAATTATATTAATAGAAAACCTGTCAAAAACTCGGTGGGAAATCCATACAAATTATTTGTATATTCAACACATGACTCAAAAGTAGCCGTTTTGTTGAATGCGTTAAACATTTATAACAACCAATTCATACCATTTGGTGCTTCAGTTGTGTTTGAATTGCATCAATACTTACATTCTGACCAATATTTTGTCAAAATCTATTACTTCAATCAAACTCTCGATAACATTCCTCCATTTACTATGACATTACCTGATTGTGATCATCGAAATGATTGTCCATTTGAAATATTTTTAAAAATTGCTCAAAATATAATACCTAAAGATTGGGACAATGAGTGCGGTATCCAAGAAAGCAATTCAGATATTTATGTCATCAATATTGTCGCTTTAGTAATAAATATAGTTATGTTGATATTATTGAGTGCACTCATGGCTTACAATTGTATTAAGAAAAGCAGATCTTCTTATATACTACTAGAGAACCATTAAATTCTAGATATAGTTATATGTTATTAATATTAATATTTAAGTTTTATAATTTATTCAAGATTTTCAATTATGTATTTTAACTAAATATTATGTTTTAATAAAATTGTTTTATTTATATTATGATGAATCATCATTGATGATTAATGATTTTTTATTACCGTAATACTTAAGTATTGATAATTTCTAAAATTTGAAATACTGTTAATAAATACTTTTGTTCTGAAAACTGTTGTAATCTATTAGAAAAATAGGATTATTTTAATGATGTGAATACGGAAGAGTTAATAAAAATGATGTTCATTTTATGCTAGTGTTTGTTCATTAGAGACTTAAAAGGTTAAGACTTGTCTTTATGTTTTAATATAGTTTGTCTTCATATGTAAGTCTAATCACACATTTAGTCTGAATAAATAGTGTCAAGATTCCTTAAGTAAAGTGTAAGTCATAACATAATGTAAAAATATAAGCAAATTCTTATGTCCGATGCTAATGATTGTTAAATATAAAATACTAATAGTGGCCATGAGGTTACTTTTATTATTGCAAATTGTTAGTAATATTATGTAGACAAATACTGTATTATCACAATTATCAATATCTGACGAAAAAGCAGCCTGCTACTGAATAAATACTATACGATTGGTAGTCATTATTGATGCATTCAATCACTGAATCATTGATTAGTGAATTGCAATCAATTTGTTGTATGACTTAAAAATTGTGATAAACAATAAACTCACCCAATATTTGTATTCCATGAGATGTGAGATTTAATTGCTATGTTATGTCATTCATTCAACAAATTATTACAGTATTTACAATATTTTTAAATAAAATCTCACATTTCCAGTGTTTCATTTACATTTGATTCATATTTATATTGTGTCTCAAATATGAATGCAAGCATTCATTTACTGGATGCTATGTCCGATCATATTGACCACAACTCACACAATAAATCCCTGAAAAGACATCACATCTTGAATGACGACATATTGTGTCTTATATTCAATGAGTTATCAGTGAAACAGTTGTTGAGATTAGAGATGGTTTGCCACCAATTCATGGATTGCGTGGGAAATGCTCTCAAGAACTTCAAGAATGGGCTCATTATTGGAAAGAATTATTTTGGTGATGACTGTGATCACCATTGGTTCAGGTATTCAGATAAGAGTGTATCACATAATAAGCGAAATGAAGGCAAATTAGATATGAGTCGAGCTTTTCATGTCCACCGATACGTACCAAATGAAGAGCTCAAGAGATATCCGTTTAGTCGCATAAAACCCGGATTAACACGAGTCAGAAGAAGACATGTCATTGATTACTACGACTTGATTGAATACAGACACCATTTGCAGACAATTATCAGTAAGTATCCCAACATTGAGTCCATGTTTTTGTCGGACTGTCGTATGGATAGCGAGACAATGGAACTGATTATCACCGGATGTCTACATCTCAAGCGATTAACACTGAATGGTATTTGATATCTGAATGGCAGCTATGTTTAAGTTATTATTTTAATGACTAACTAATATCCATTGAAAGTGCGATATCCTGCGCAAGAATTGGTGGCATTTTGTCGCATATGTATTGAGCAAAGAGTGGCGACCAATGAGTTCACACTTTACTTCAATGAAGACGTCTTTCCGCAAGTTATCGATGGTTTGCAAGCAATGAATGTCTCGATTCCCGACTACTTTGATATTATTTCGAGATGAATGTATCGTTCAAACAATGATCACTTCAATAATGATTTAATTCTCATTTAATAAATCTTTACTTGATAATAAATCAATAAACCTGTATCTATATTTTTGGTTAATGATAATCTATAATTTAGTATAATTTAGTTACACTAAGACTTAATAATTATTACTAAATTAGTATTCACAAATAAAATAATAAAATAATTTGAGTTCACAGTTTACTAGAGATAACAAATGTGTCCATAATTTATGCATTGTTTGCTTATAATGTATGTCTCGATTGATCGCAACTTTCATATTTTGATGAATGTTTAGCTCAAAGAATAATAATTACTTCCTTTTATGACACGATTTGCAAATGAATTTATTTCGTATAATATTAACAATAATTATTATATAATAAACTTTGTATTTACTTTTTATAGTAATGTTTTGTTTTGAGTTATTATTTCTTTAATTTTCAGACAATTTGTAGAAATATTTTCAGTGAATGTATTTAAGACGAAAGACTTTACGTCTAAATCGTTATTAAAAATATGCTTAACTCTAATGGTTTGTAATCTACTAAGTTTTGCCAATGAATTCAAAACATTTATTTCTACATTGGATTTGTATTGTAAGCACAGGTACTGAAGGTTTGGTAGATTCGTGTCTATATTATTGTAGAAATCATTACAAACATAAAGATTTGAATCAAAATTTTCTTTAAAAGTTAAATGTGTTAATCGTTTACAACTATTCAGCGATTCAC